CTTCAGGAGGGAGGACGGCACCGGGGGCCGTGCTGCACGGCTGCTCGCCCAGTGGGCTTTGTGGCGTCCTGTGGGCTGTTTAACCCCTCATTTAACTCTGGACAGCAGTGCCTTACATTAAAGTTTTCTGTGAACTCTATCACCTGATGTATTTTTCACTCGAAGACATCATGAAAAACTCCCCATCTGCTGAGGTACTTTCAAAGCATGTTCTTCATAGGAACAGGAATCACCTTCCAAGCCAGCCCTGAGCAAAAGTTAAAGGATACCAAGCCGAGGGGTTTTAAGATGAGTACAGATTCCCACCTTGTAATATTGGCAAAACAGTACTCTTAGATTTATGAGAAATTTTAGCTTAGTTATTCTTATGAAGGGCAGTGATTTATAAATATATTTGCTTCAAGGAAATAAGGACCCAAACTGGTATAACAGGTGCCCCTTCAGACATCTAAATGACGGCAAGTTGACTTCTCTCAACACCTAACGGCTGGCATCACCGTTGTGCATGTTACCACTGGGCAAAGAAACAGTTCATTATTCAGATACTCTCTGGAATGGCGAAGTTTCGACCGCACTTTGCCGCAAGCCTCCCAACCTCAGGCTCCAGGCCCTGCTGATTCCTGGTAACGCTGAGCCTCCTGGCTGGCAGCCCCGGGACGCACGCACGTAGCTCGCCTAACGCGAGTTTTCTCAGTGAGGTACCTCACCAGCGCTCAGGAGCAGCAGCCAAGGCGACAACACTGTGCCTGGGGTCCGTTCCAAACTGAAATCACCAACGAGAAGCACAGCGTTTCGGAAATGTGGGACTACGTAGAGCACAAAAGGACACCTGCTGACTGAGCTGAACCTGGAAGACAGCATCTTCCCGTCCAGCCTCACCTGGTAGGGCGCGTGCCAGCAGCTCAGTATGGGCACTGCCCCCGGGGTGTCCACGAGCCACCGCAGATGTGCTACACGCACTGATTTGGAGCTGCAAGTGTGCTTCTGTGGGCACATCTGCAGACATGGCCTGAGACTAAAGACAGACCACTGCGCATCGTTTCCAGATTACAGTACTGGTGTTTACTTGACAGAGGGAAGGTTTTCAAATTTATTTTAAATAAATAGCTTACAAAGAATAGTAATTATATTTAGAGAACATTAAAAAAAAAGTCAAGATACAGTTACACCACCAGCAAAAAGTTCTTCATTAAACATTTAAAAGTAGAAGAAAGTTTACCTGAAATAAAAGAAACAATAATCCTGGGGTTCAATAAACCGCAGTCAACTTTTAAGTGTCATCAAAGGAGTTCTGTTGAACTGTCATGTTTTTTAAAAACCACACCTTGAATTCTCTGGACTTTTAGTTCCAATCTGTTGTAGCTTTAATATCTTCAAATTACCTGTTAAAAAGAAGACAGCAAGAAGACCTGTTAAGAAGATGACATCTTAGGGTAGAAAGTTCAAAAAAGTATTTGCAATCCTAAAATTTAACTATTTCAAATACCTCTCTTTAACAGTATTATTTCGTTGAATAACTTTAAGGAAATGGTATCATTCAATTTTTATTCTTATAGAATACAGATATACTTTCATAAATTTTAAGTAGCATGTACTACTGAATTATGCATTTTGTGATGATTCACATTCCCATGGTGAACAATGGATCACATACCTATTTTAAATGATATTAGGGTGATATCCCTAAAATATTTTAAGGGTTAGAATGGAAAATTAACGCATGGGAAGAACTTTTTACATACTTGTTAAAATTCCTGCACCCTGTACCAAGAGATTTTGCCAATTTCCTTTTGTACCTGGTCTTTTCTTTTTATGCAGTCACTACTGTTCCTATGAGGAAAATCCTTGAGGAAAGGACTTCCATAATCCTGGGATTCAGTAACTGTAATCAGCCCAACAGAAAGTACTAGTGTTCCCAAGTTTCTCTTTAGCCCTTAATACAGAAGCCTACAACTCATCAAAAAGAATGGGTTGACTTTCCTTGTACTCATTTTAAACAACTGTAGTGCAAATACTTTTTTTGATTTACAACCTATTTTATATTTATACTTTGCTGTTAGAACAAGGGCAGATCTCTAGCTGCGTGGCTGCTGATGACATTGTCGACGTTTCACTTTCATAAACAGTAATACTAGCATTTTTGATGAATGAAAGGCTAATAAGTGTTTTTAAAACTTCAGAAACGAAATTAACTGGGAAAAGCGTAGGTGGCTTTTCTGGTTGGTTGGTGGCGTCACAGAAGCACAGCGTGGGCCACACAAGACGAGCTCTGGTTCAGGCCAACGACCCATGCTCTGTAAATCTCAAAGCAGGGCTTCCAGTGAGCCCGAGGAAATTGACTAAAACCTGTCATTACCTCAGGTTCTAGTTGTGATGTACGCATGCTGCTAACTTCACCTCAGCCCTCACTGATCACATGAACTTCAGTGTGCCCACAAGGAGACTACCGCCAGAGCCATCTTACTGGGGAATCTGGTTACGCTGGGTATTGTGTCCAAGTAAAAACACAGCCGGTTCCTGAAGGTCTCTGTTCTCATGATTCTAGTGGTCTGTGATTTGGCAGGTATATCATAAAGTGTGTAGAGAGGTATTTACTGCATGTTCAAGCCCCGAAGTTGCCCCAGGGTTCACTGATTATCTTTCCTTAAAAATATCTGAGCTTGCTGGAAAGGCCTATCTTGGAAGTCTTGCCCTGACATTACTGAGGTCAGACCAGAGGTTCGCTTCAGGAGGTTTTGTCACCGTGCGCCCACAGAGAGCCAACTGCTGAGGGACACACTGCAATTCGGCCTTTTAGTGTCATCATTCCTCAGTAACTACAGGGAGGGAGCAGTCTTTCAGGAAAGGGTCTGCAGATTCAACATCCCTAAAAGGACAGCATGCAAAGAGCTATTACCTGCTCCAGGTGCTGTGTGTACACCTCCCCTCTGGGCGTCGTGGCTTTCTGATGGGAAGCCCGGAAGCAGCAATGGCAGGCAACAGCCTGCGGGGTGTTCACATCCATGGGTTCACTGCCCTCCTCCACACGCTGCCTGAGGCTCTCAGTTAAAAAGAAAAAATACTGTCTCTACATTATTTGTGAAGAAATGGTCTTCATGACAGTTGTCAGAAGGAAATCGATTACTGCCATAAATAATATAACCTTAACTACACCTCTCACTTACTAATCTTTCTTCATTGACATTCCCCAGATTCCCAGCATTTCATCAAGTTTATATTTCAGCAAAAATTCTAGTAATATCTGACCCTTTATCATGTGTATTTCCACCTAAGAAAAGCATATCAAAGGAAACGTTTTTCCTTTCGAAGTACTGAAGTTTTCTGTCTTCTCTCGCTAATTTATCTGCTGGTAAAGACTTGTGTTTCTAGAGATAAGAGTACTATAATTTTTCCAATCTCTCCTATTTATAACTTAGGGTTCAAACTTCTGAATTAAGGAAAGCTCTAGCTGACAGCCACTGATTAAGAACTCACACTTCCATAATCATCAAAAACAATTTACCTTGATCTGTCACAGTATTCTTTTTAAAAGTCAGCTTCATTGGCTACTGGGAAGAATTAAAGCATCTTTTCCTACTGTGTGTGTTAAAATACAAAGAGCAAACAGTCTACTCAGTATAAAATCAAGGACATATTTTCCTATCCACAATGCACCACAGAAGGCAGATTTCAAAGATAATTGCTATTATGGAAACCTACTGAGGCTGTCTGTTGAAATGAGAGCTCAAAGTAAGACAACTTCTATTCCAATAGCTCCTCACATGGAAACTGGCCTCAGTTTACTTCGTTCGGTAAACACTGTTTACTCACCTAGTATTTCACTGAGTGGCTGGAATCAAAGTGTAGTAAGTAGTTTGAAAAAAATAAGCTATATAAACTTTACATCTTAGATACAGCTATAAAAATAAATTATTTAAATTGAAAAAATTATATATTCTTAATACGCATGTATTTTTACCCACACAGATACACAGAGTTTGGAAATGAAAAAGGGCTACAATTTCAAGTTCTAAAAAAAAATCTCTTCCTCATCCTTGACTTCCACCTCTAAGAAGTGAGGACAATGTGTGTGTGTCTGTTTAATCGCTTTATCAATTTAGAAAGCAGCCCCCGAAAGCTTGAACAGCCCACTCCCTCCACCTCCACTGCCAAGGAAGAACAGCAAACAAGAGTAAAGAGGGAGATGATTAAACAAGGTCACCGCCATTAAGTTTGCTTTAAAATTAATCAAGGAAACCGGTTACTTGTTTATTTTGTTACAACAGCAATGGGAAGTCCCCATCTACCACGCTTTATAATTGTAAAGATTAAACTGCAGTTGGAATCAGCATGTTCATCATTTACCCCCAAAAACGCCACATCAGAGTCTGTCTACTCCATTTCTCGAACAAGCAGTGAAGAACTTCATGCTCGTGCGCAATGTGGAATCGTAGCTTTTTTTATTTGTATAGAAAAAAATGGACAAAACTTCCCTCCCCATCGAGGCTGTTAGAAGAAATTAGGTAATGAGAGGGAGAAATGCAAATCCTAAAGTCAACCAGTGCTTTTCCCATAACTCCAAATAAAAAAACAATGAAAGTGCTCTAAGGTTTAGAAATCTCTCTATAGTACAGAGGTGCAAGGAAGCGATAGATTTCTCTCATCACTTTTTACAAGTTTAATGTTCTAAAGTCTTTCCTCCAGGAAAACTCATGTGATCAATTACTGAATATAATCACACAGCTCCATTTCAACTAGTCTGAATTCAATGTGCTTAGTCTAGAACCATCCTTGAGAAGAAAGAATCTTATGATACATTTTAGTAGATAAATATATGAAGACTAATCAAAAATTCTCTTTAAGAATAAAGTATCTTAGCCCTTTGTATATCAAATCAGAACCTGAAAGGTAAAAGAATGTACATTATTTTCACATATACAAACTGTGTGCTAAAGTAAAAAAAAATAAAATGTCCTTTAATTCAAGCCCAAGCTCTGTCCGTGACACTGCCGGCAGGTTATATGCTAGGAGACAGGTCCTTCACGCTGAGGGTCACTCCTGCTTGTCTCTGCAACAAAGCAACAAAAGCCAGCGTTGGTTGGTATATTCTGAACTTTAATTACATAAACACTGTTAGATTTGGAGATCATAGCTCAAGAAACAAATTACGGAAAATTTTAAATAAAACTTACATGGAGAAACGACAACCTATTCCAGACACTCAAGGAAATACATAAACACCCTCCTCACATACAGCATGAGAGGTTTTCTGGCATTAGCCTAATCAGTATTCATGTGGTCAGCACGGCGCTATAGAAAAGACACAGGCTGAGCTGGTGGGATTAATTAGAGTGTGTTTTCAAACACATAGCGATGGTGTCACCACCCATGAAAACAGTAGCTAGCATTTACTGGGCAATATAGACCCTATGAGCTAGAGACAAGTATGGTATTATCCCCAATCTAGAGACTGGAAATTGAGGCACAGAGAGGTTCAAACCAGCCTTCGAATCCAGTTGGATGTTACTAGGAAGAGGAGTACAAGATAATTTCAGCTCAAAAGGGTTTCTTACAGTGACAGGTTACTTCCTCAATCAGACCTGAGGTCAAGCAGACAAAAGAGGAGCCCCCTCGGGCAGACGCGTCCTCCAGGGAGTGGGCTACCGTTAATAACCTCCGCATCCATTTCCTAGGCGCTCCTGAGCAAATGTTAGCTCAGCTAGGAGTAAAGCTACATTACACTAATTATACTAATATAAGTAGACATTATACTAAAGTACTAACACTAAAGTACTCATGTCTGCTTAAAAGAATTGATTTTTTCCAATAGTTCTCAAACGATCCAATTATAGGGTAGAAAGAACATTAACATAAATTACCTGTCAGATTACCTGAATGAATTATGAATTACCTGAACAAATACTTGGAAATTTAGTTTAGGATAAGAGTTTTACCTGTCCTGAAATATCTCAAGGGTAGTCAAGTACTAAAGGAAACAAATTTCGTTTCCTTTCTGGAGCCTGAAGGCAATGGTAAAAAAAAATAAAAATAAAAATATCAGTGGTATGCACTTAGGCACAAAGCAGTGGAATTCCTAAAAACAAGAAGCATTTATAAACATTTATAAATGGAACTCTCTGCCCCACAAGGCAGAGTGCCAGCAGGAGAGCTGGTTAGGAGAACTCCTACACAATCCACCTTTCCACTTCCTCATTCTCTGAAATTCATTCTCCCTTTTTCTTACACAACGCATTCTTTCTTCCTCTGGTACTGGTTTAAAACTTAAGTTCTCATATTTCTGTCTTTGCCTCCCAGATTCTAAAAAGGGGCAAAAAAGACAAACCGATTCAGTTTGAATACTACCGATTTGGGAAAATATGCTTCCTCTTCCAGGATGGCAAAATTCAAAATTAGAAGCATCAATTCTTCCCAGTTAAAATAACCTATAAATTAATTCAACTATAATAAAAATTCTCATGGGAGTTTCTTACACGTGGCAAGTTGATTTTAAGATTAATCTTAAACAATGAAGAACAGTTGAGAATTCTTTTTTTAAAAAGAATAAAGAAGGAATTTGCCTTGCCTTTCAAATATCAAAACCTATTCACAAGTAACTATCACTGAACAATGGACAAGTGGTTAAACATCTGGGAAAAACAGGTTAGTTAAATCTCCCCTTAAACAATGTGGATTAAAGATTTAAATGTAAAATACAAAGCCACAAATGTCAGTAAAATTTAAATTAATAACCCTCAGATGAGACAGATTTTCCTAAGTTGGCATATGCTGTCAAAGGCAGAAAGAATCATGAAAGAATGAGAAGCTGGACTAGATAAAAATCAAAGACCAAGAGCTCTTAGAATCAGTATGAAAAATTATAGTTTCTCCACAGAAAAAGAAGCTAAGGATGAAATGCTGGGCAACTCAGAAAAGAAATATAAATAACCAACAAATATGAAAAGAAGATAATTGCATTAGTAATTTAAAACAATGCAATTCATTATTTTACAGACAGGTGGTAAATGTATACACAAAATGACTTCAGTGTTAGTGATGACAAAAGTCCATCAGCGGGATGTGGTTTACAGAAATTATAGTGAATCCAAAATGGAATACTACGCAGCTGTACCAAATCATGTGTCTTGTCTACTGATACAGAAAGAGCTTCACACATTAAGAAGAAAAAACAGGTCACCTGGGCTTCCCTGGTGGCACAGTGGGTAGGAATCCGCCTGTCAATGCAGGGGACACGGGTTCGAGCCCTGGTCCTGGAAGATCCCACATGCCGTGGAGCAACTAAGCCCTTGCACCACAACTACTGAGCCCGCATGCCACAACTACTGAGCCTGCACGCCACAACTAGTGAGCCTGCACGCCACAACTACTGAAGCCCACGCAACTAGAGCCCGTGCTCTGCAACAAGAGAAGCCACTGCAAAGAGAAGCCTGCGCACTGCACGTAAGAGTAGCCCCCGCTCGCCGCAACTAGAGAAAAGCCCGCGCACAGCAACAAAGATCCAAGGCAGCCAAAAATTTAAAAAAACAACAACAGGTCACCTAACGGCACATGAATGATATTCTCCCCATCCTTAAACACAGAAAAAACATCTGAAGTATATTTATGGAAATGTTAAAATGATATCTGCAGGTGTGAGGTCATGGTTATCATTCTTCCTTTATGCTTTTCTGCACCTTATGTATTTCTTCACCTTCTTTCAACCACTGATAACATCATTTTGTTTGAGAACCCGCAAAAGACTCACCCAGCAAGGCCGTGTTTTCACCTGCATCCTCTTTAAAACTGGCCTCGCAAGGTGGCGCAGAGTCGCTGGTGGTGGGCAGTGCTGAGCTGCCCGCGTCACTTCTGTCACCATCTGGTAAAGTAAGACTCAGATCTGCAGTCGAAACGCCCCCGGGGGGCGATTCTGGGGCGGGCGTCTCCTGCACGTCCTCAAGCTCTCCCTTGAGAGTTAGAGCAAAGAAAATACCTTTTCTCAGTAACACGATCAGGCTTATCTATCATCTTTCGCTCATAATTCATACAAAATATTTACTTTTATACACGAACATGGCAAAAAGGCACATCAGTGTCTTATTTATTTAGCATCACCAGAAAACGAGCACTCTTCAAATAAGCAGCTTTTCAAGACCTAAATCCTTTTCCTCTAAAAACCATTTTTCCCCTCGATACAAACGATGCTACCGTTTAAACTACTGACAGAAAGTGGAGCTTCGTCACAAATGCACTTTCCTGCCTTTCTGAGCAGGCCGGCTGGGCGCTCATCACTAAGGCTGGAGCCCTGAGCTCGAATGACTGCCCTAATGGCTGCCAGGTGCCAGGGCTTCGGAGACAAGCAGGCTTCTGAACAGCAGAAGGCTGCAGACTGTACCTGCATTCACTTAAAGATAACCAATTCTGCTCCTTCCTTACAGAAGGGGTGTCTACCCGCTGCCAGTTTGCCTCGCTTCCCCATTTGCTGCTTCAAAGAAGAAAAGGAGATCGTGAAAGTCAGAGCGGGAGATTCTACAAGCGTCACTACGTCCGAGTCTCAAAATTCAGGGGCCATCCAGAAACCTTTCTTGATTCATGCCAGGGTCAAAGCTGTGTCGTGATGGCCGAAGCTGCTGCTGAGTGACCGACCGAAGGTGTGTGCGTTGTGGGGGTGTTCCTGCGAACCCTGGCTCAGGCTGAGGGCAGCGCACAGCCCTGCCACCCGCTCCTGGGGCCCTGCCGCCCGCACTGCTGGCTCCACACGTGTTCTGGAACCCTCGCCTCACTCCCGGGCACCACGTGGCTCCCTGCCTTCTCACAGGCAACCGAACACCCGCAGAACAGACTCGTGACGCACCAACCGACAAATCCTGTTGAGCTGCTGTAGCATCCGGACTGCCGCACAGCCCACCCTAGTCTGTTCTTCCAGGTACTTGTCTAAGTACCTGCCAAACTGAACTACCTGCCCGTCCCAAAGCCCACCTGGTCACTCCCTGCGATACACTAACCCTTGAACACGCAGCTCAGACCGTGCCTCTAAAAACCCCTCCCTGTCCCTTCCCACATGCAGCTGGCAGGGTCAAGGCCGCCTTCCTCTGTGCCCACACTCTTCAAACAGGCCTCCGTGGCCAGCGGGGTGGGCCGCAGGCCCGGCTCCCACCCACCAGTCCAGAAAGCGGAGCCCCCCAGGAGCCTGTGGGCAGGAGGGCTGAGTCTTATCCCTTCGTCTCCCTGGAGCCAAGTTCAGACCCAGCACCTTACGCATCACTCCCCTGATGAATGCCTGCGCCCCATGAGCGAACAAACACAACAGGGACAAGAGGCAGGTCAAAGCCGCTCTCACTGTTGCGCTCATTTTCTTGGAAATGAGAACTAGTTACCATATGAGAGTCATAACTATCCCTACAATCCAACGCAGGAGGGGCCAATGGGCCCAAAGAAAATGGCAGATTTGTCAAAGGATTAAAAAAAAACAGTTAAAGGCAAGACAAATTAATTTCTTAAGTTTGATTTAAAGTTACTGTAGGTTTCTTCAAAAAAGCAAGCAAGCTTTCTGGGGGGACATATTCTAGCTTTCTGAAATAAACATTCTGAAAGCAATCCAACCTGATATAAAATGAAGAGTCTTGTTTTTTAACACATGAAACATACATATGTATTTCCAAAAGCAAAACTCGTGAGGATTAAAGTCTCAACGCTAAGGTCAGTGAAACGCCTTTTGCACAAAGGTTTAGAAATGAAAAGAGGTTTAAAATGACTGACGAAGAAAAGAAGCTTCAGAGCGTATCTACGAGAGGAAAAGTCGAAGAAGGGAAACTGCCAAGAAAACACCTCTCTCTCTGCCTGGGTTCTACTGTTCCAAATGCGGTCCCAGGAAGGCGTGAGGCAGTCGGGGGTGAGCCTCCACGCTGGGGAGAGCTGCCAGTTATCAAGACTACGCACCAACGAATGTTAGAAATTCTACAGCAAAGGCACATTTTCCAGACATCCAGGCGGATGAGTTTCCAGCAAGACAGTCCTGCTGCCTCCCCCTCCGTGTACCTACGGTGAGGCCTCTGGAACTCACACTTGAAAATGATAATTCACAGAAAATCACACTGGTTATTAAGGCAGTGCGTGGTCCCTCAGCTCTCTTTTGAAGATGCGCTGAACTAGAAAATGAAAAATACTCGGAAGGGGGCCTGCAGCCTTGAAGGCTGTTATGGCTTTAAGTCACATAAAATCATTACCATAATAAAAAACCTCTTTGTAGTTTCTACCTCTGTAATAAACGCTGCCAAAACCTCTGTTTAGCAACAAGAAAAATATATTTGATACTTAAATTACTTCTTTCATACATCTGTTTCAAAACTATTTATATTTAATCAAGAATATCCTGAGACATTAATAGATTACAGGAAGACTCTAAAAATATAACAATCAGGGAAGATCTGGGTATTTTTCCCATCTATGTCCCTCCCCTCTTTTGGGTAGGAGGGTGGTTTAGAGCTTGGGCACTGGAATTAAGCAAGCCTGCACCCGAAAGCTGATTCCCTGTCACCTCACCGTGTGACCTCAGGTGAGCTACGTCTCTCTGAGCTCGAGTTTGTAGTTAGTAAAATAAGGAGAGTCACAGCGCTTCCCTCCCATAGGGGCTGGAAGAGTCAACGTAATAACTCGTGTAAGGCAACAGCGCATGGCTACCACGACGCGCTCTCTTTCACTCTGCCCTCCCGTCTCTATTTTCTGAGGAAGGTCTATGACCATCTCAGTATCACAAAGTGATGGAGCACGTTGGGTGCAGGATAAATCTCCCCGCGGCATCTTGACTCTGAAACCCAAGCATTGGGAGAGCTGGTGTCAAGAGGTATGTGCTTCGGCTCCCTCGTGTGTAAAATGTGCACCTCTGCATGAGGCTCCTTCCGTTTCAAACATTTTATAATAATTCCTGTTTATATGACGCTGACTGGCACCTATACACCCTGCAGCGTCACACCGACATCTATCAAAGATACCACTCTAAGTACAAACTCTAAGGAAACACCTAGCATATTATTCTGTAATCACAAATTTAGTTCACTGACTTTGGGGAATGTCTTAAGAATTCACTTTTAATAAAGAGGAAAATTTCTTCAGGAACCACCAGGATGCTAGAAGGAGCATTTAGTCCACTCCTGCCTCTGGTCAGGAAAAGAATCCAATCACTCAGGGAGAACGGGGGTGCAGAGGTTGAATATAAACAAAAATGTAACAAACCCAATATCCCAGGGCTTTGATGACATCAAGTTTACACATTGGACACGTTCGGTGATCCAAAAGCCATGGGTCAATGCATATTCTATGAAAAATATGCCTAAAAAAATTAAGTATGTGTTAATGTTTTAAAATAAATGTTTATATCTTATAAAGGAAACAACACATTCCACCAACGCATCTTCTCATTACAAGTTAAATGCCATCAAATCAACATTCCAGTCTATCCATTTACCCTAGGTAGTCATCTATTCTATTTTTCCACGTTAAATAGAATCTGGCATGTGGAGGGAAATACCCGCTTCGCTGCACAAAAATAACATGGTTTATTTTCACATCATGCTAGGATGTATTTTTATTTGGGAATAAACGTGGCCTAAGTAACCCAAGAGTAAACTAATAGTAACAAAGTAATACTAAACTGATAGTATCTGATATAAGTCTATAAGATGACTCCAATGGAAATGCAACAAAATATTAACAAGTCATCTTTGGCTTGCAGGCTAAAAAAGCACTTATTTTTTTGTCTTATATATTTTTGCAGCATCTACATTTTTCTAGAATGAACATATCGCTTTCAGAATCAAAAAAAGAAACACCACATATGAATTTTCTTCTTCTACTGACTGTCCTCATTGGCGGACTTCCCCTCCTGTGTGATGAATCTACATTTTCTACCTGTACTGCAGGTAAGCAGCTGTGGGTATCAGAGCCACACAGATCAGGTTCAGACACCAGCTGTGCGTCCTGATGCTGTGACTCTGAACTAGATCCTGAGGCCACTCTGCACCTACCCTGCAGCTGTTCTGAGGAGCAAACGTGTGATGTGGTTATTGTGCAGGGCACAATAAATCCACAGTAATTTTTCATTATTATTACTGTCGTCACTGTCTGAAGACCTTTCCTTCAAAGGGAAATCTGCCAGTGCAGTTAAAAATCACAGCATGTAAGGACATAACATGGTCCAGTCCAGCTTGTCTTGTGACCTTTCCATCCTCAAACTGAAACTGACCCACTGGAATCATTCTGAAAAAACAAAACCAACACGTGGGCTTTATTCGGAAATTTGTTGATATAAATCATAGGAGGAAACGGGGGTGGACGGAATAAAACCCCACGAAGGAGACCAGGATAAGCGCACACGTCAACTCGTCTGTTTATGAAGCTCCAGTGCAAATCCCAGCTCGGCCTTCAGGAGTATCTGGATTTCCTATAAAAGGAAATCGGCCTCAGGCTGCTCACTGTGTGGCATCCAGGTCACAAAGACGTGCCCTAAGCCCACCTAGAGTAAAAATTCTTCTCTATCTTAATAATTTTCTACAGGACACCATCACCCGACACTGTCCCCAATTCACTAAGTATCCACCACACCCACCCACATAAATGCCTGTAGATTTAAGTTCACCATCTTCATGCAGGGAAATTAATTTTGTTATTCTGATCCTCACGCCTTCATTTCCTCTACAGAACTCCTGAGAACTTAATCTGCTATAAGTACTGGGATATACACAAAAACACTTTGCAAACATAAAGCAAGACGTAATTATATTTTAACTTGTGACCTGCTTCTAATAGGTGGGAAGTATAATTAAAATTGACCAGCTTTAAAACATAATCTTTGTACAGCTTTCTGCTAACGAAGCAATTTTTTTAAAAAGTTAACAAAGTATCTCATTATTAAAAAGGAAACATAACTTCCTGTTGCTAAAGAAAATAAATTAATGAAATAAGGGAGGAATATTTATTTCACACAACCCCCAAAAGAACCCAAACCCAGGGTGCAAATAACAGCAGAGCCAAATCTAAGAAAAAAGGCATCTCGGTAGAAAATAGTAGACAAAGATACATAACCAGTAACTGTCTTTAAAAATAACATTTCTAATAAATGTCTGGGAAAATGCTCACTAGTTCAAAACATTATTAAAATATTTAAAAGTAAAAAACCCAGCAAAGCCGGAGCCACATCTGCGGGCTGCTCCTGGCCCCAACCCCCAGGGCCTTCACCTATCCGAACAGCTCAATGGGTAGTAGAGATTATTCCCAGGACCCTAAAGAAGCCTTGCTTAAAAGACTAAAAAGCCAATCTATGACAAAAGGACATAATGGGTCTTAATGGTCACCTAAAGTCTCCAAGCAAAGCAATTTTAAAGTAAAACAATACAGGAGAGCCTTGAAGACTTCGAGCTTCTTTTCTAAAAGGTGAGATGATCACAAGATATCACCTGATAGCAAGGTCTTCATATCATGAAAAACATGTTCACTCTTTGGTCAGAAACCTGAAACTTGTCAGTAATTTTTTAACATCTCAGGAAGTGAGAGAACGTACTTGCATGGCAGGATTCTGATAACATCCTTTCCTTTAAAATTTTCAATACACACTGCACAACTTTCAGCATCAACATCAATTCCCTGTAGAAAGAAGAGGAAAAAATTTACTATATCCTTAGTATACAGTATACGCTTGGTAAAACTCATTACAACAACAAAAACAAAACGAAACCAAAACTCACTACAACCTGGGTAAAACAATGACGAATTCTACTCTACATTGGTACATCCTGAATTTAAACACAGATAATTTCTACTTGGTATTTATTTTTACCACTACCAAGGGATTTTTTTTAAAAGAATTTGGCTGAAAAAGAAAAAATTTCATCGTCTACCTAATCAGACACGAATTATGTTTAAATTCTAGGCTACTGTTCATTTTTTTAAGTGATCATATTTTTAGGGCTGTAGAAATGCAAATGCCTGCTTTATTATAATAAAATAAATTATTTTTCAAATGTAAAATGAAGAATGAATATCTAATTAGCTATTTGTTTTCTGGAATCATCAAAAACACAAAACAAAAGCACTTTCATTAGAATCTGTGAAAGAACAGAGTTATAACTTACAGATGAGAAAATGCAAATAGCTAAATATCTGAATGTATTCACCTCACTAGCAAAAAAAGAACCGTAAATTGAAAGAAGTTACCGTTTTCATATATCAAGTTAATAAAGGTAAAAAGAAACAAAAACTCCTGGGGAAGAAGCAGTCTTGTGACAAAATTCCAACTTCTGAGAATCTGTGGGTCACAGACCTTTTTGGTGGTGTCAGCCCTTCCCCCACTTCCCTGGGCACCCCCTGGACATACCCACCTGGCTTCAGCCCATCTACCAAAGTAGGCATGGCCAGCCTGATCACCTGACCCAAAACAGGTCAATGAGATTCTCTCTCCCAGGACTCTGGGATGGGGATTCAGGAGCTACCAATCAGTGTCTGCAACTTTAGCAAGTTAATTTTATGGGACACAGCTTCACAGTCATCACGGAATTCTTTAAAAATATCTTTAGCCATGTGGGTCACGTGTTAACAAGCAAGCAGTAAAAACTGATTTTACACGTAGATACTGCTATCAAAGATTGTATTAAAATTCACTTTGTAACAGCACTTAAAATTATATGTTGCAACTATACATTATCACCTTTTTTCACATGCCATGCAAGGATGATGAAATAATTATTTCCCTAATGGTTTACAAGCTTATACATTACTGTGATCAAGTCCACAAGAAAAGAAAAATTAGAAAACAAATACAGTCTCCAGAACTGGGCAAGATGTAGATTTAAGAAAAAACATAGTATTTTTCTGTACAAGTTTAAAATGTAAAATTGTCAGAAAATCCACGTGTGTACCTCATGGACCATTTATGGATCCTTTTTTTTTTTAACCATTATTGCTGACAACTTTCAAAAAACAGTCCATAGAAGCCTATTTTCAAAAATGTTCTGTACACGAAGAGGGTATCAATTCATTTATGTTCTCAAAGACTCCATGCAGTAAATTACACACATATAAATCTATGTCTTCTCATGTTTAAGAACAGATTTCCTGCCACAGAGAGTAGAAGACACATTTCAAGAGGAACAGAAAACTCCATGCTTGTCACGGAACTGCCAGCCGAATGCACAGTTTGTCCCAGGCATTTGCTGGACTCTCTCCCCAGGGACCCTCGTGCTTTGTAAATCAGATGTTAATCTTCCCATGAGATGGGAGTTTCTTTTTTTTATTTTTGCACTTCTCCTGTTTAATACATCTACATGGAAAGAAAGCAGGACCTCGCGCCAAATATGAAAATTCACTGTTACTATAACGTAAGGCATCGGAAAAGAATGAAGCAGACAATACAATTCCAAGAGTAGGATATGTTACATATTCCACATGAACCATTAATATCAGATTCCAAAGTTTCGAAGTCAAAGGTCTATAAATTTAATGAGTGTTATTCTGAAGCTTTAATCCTTTAAGTAGGTCAGAGGAGGAGATGTGGACCCAAATGCACTTACGGGGGAGTGGAGACTGGGGGATCGGCATGGACTAAATCTCAACTCAGGGAGATAGATAAAACGGAAGTGGAAACAGTGGAACCAACGCACAGCTATCTATGTCAACACAGCCATCAACACTTCCCAGAACAGTAAACGAACCATTAGGAGAATAACTATTCCTGCATTAGCAACTGTTTTCCTTTAAGGAATCTATCCTCTAAGAACCTGAGTTTCGAGATTTTGTTAGGATTTGTCCTATTCCAAAATGCTTCTGAACTCTGGTACGATTTTGGCCTTTTAAAAGTCTCAGGTTGGCCATGTGAAACGTTTCTTTTTTAAAAAGTTTTAAAAATATCTTTTCTCCCCTTCTCCACAAATCGCTGTGTTTTCTCCCTGTAATTAAAGGAGTCTCAGAGAGAATGGACAGAGAGTGTGAGATTTAATGGAGATGGATTTAAGCTTCAGGGTCTCCGGTAGAGACCAAAGCTTCAGAGTTACCTGTGTCTGACTGACAGGTGGAGGATGGACGTGCGGGCACTGTCCAGCCAATGTGGCCACCTGAGCATCTGACGTGTAGCCAGTGTGACTGAGGAACTGAGTTTTCAGTTTAATTCAAACAAACAAAAAACTATGAAAATATTACCTTTTCTCCATGCTTTACAGTATGAAGAGGAAGCTGCCCAATAAGTTTCTTTGTTTCTTTTCTATGGCTCTTAGGGAGGAAAAACATTCTTATTATTGAAAAATTTGTCACTATTTTAAAAATTCATATATTATAAGCAGATGTGGAAAAATTTCATTTAAAAAGCAAAGTTAGATGACTACAATGAAACTAATTTTAAGAAATTACCACTGAAGGGCTTCCCTGGTGGCGCATTGCTTAAGAATCCGCCTGCCAACGCAGGGGACACGGGTTCGAGCCCTGGTCCTAGAAGATCCCACATGCCGTGGAGCAACTAAGCCCGTGCGCCACAACTACTGAGCCTGCGTTCTAGAGCCCACGAGCCACAACTAGTGAGCCCACGCGCCTAGAGACCATGCTCTGCAACAAGAGAAGCCACCGCAATGAGAAGCCCGCGCACCACAACCAAGAGTAGCCGCCACTCGCCGCAACTAGAGAAAGCCCACGCGCAGCAGCAAAGACCCAATGCAGCCAAAAATAAATAAATAAAATAAATTTAAAAAGAAGAAATTACCACTGAAGTCCTAATGTACACAACAGCCACATGTTAACTTAAGAGCTGTTTTGTTGCTCAAGAATACTTATTTTCAACTCCATGTCTGAAGAAGAAACCTTTTTTTTTTAACATCTTTATTGGAGTGTAATTGCTTTACAATGGTGTGTTAGTTTCTGCTTTATACCAAAGTGAATCAGCTATACATATACATATATCCCCATATTCCCTCCCTCTTGTGTCTCCCTCCCTCCCACCCTCCCTATTCCACCCCTCTAGGTGGTCACAAAGCACCGAGCTGATCTCCCTGTACTACGCAGATGCCCCCCACTAGCTACCTATTTTACGTTTGGTAGTGTATATATGTCCATGCCACTCTCTCACTTCGTCCCAGCTTACCCTTCCCTCTCCCCATGTCCTCAAGTCCATTCCCTAGGTCTGTGTCTTTATTCCTGTCCTGCCCCTAGGTTCTTCAAAACCATTTTTTTTTTTAAGATTCCATATATATGTGTTAGCAAACGGTATTTGTTTTTCTCTTTCTGACTTACTTCACTCTGTATGACAGACTCTAGGTCCATGTACCTCACTACAAATAACTCAATTTCGTTTCTTTTTATGGCTGAGTAATATTCCATTGTATATATGTGCCACGTCTTCTTTATCCATTCATCTGTCAATGGACACTTAGGTTGCTTCCATGTCCTGGCTATTGTAAATAGTGCTGCAGTGAACATTGTGGTACGTGCCTCTTTTTGAATTATGGTTTTCTCAGGGTATGTGCCCAGTAGTGGGATTGCTGGGTTGTATGGTAGTTCTATTTTTAGTTTTTTAAGGAACCTCCATACTGTTCTCCATAGTGGCTGTATCAATTTACATTCCCACCAACAGTGCAAGAGGGTTCCCGTTTAGAAGAAACCAATCTTATGTTTAATTACTGGTAAGAACGTCGTCAGCTGAGGAGGGGGCTCCATACACTCATCTGCTAACGTCCCTAAAAGGGCAGAGGCTTCCTAGTTGGAGGTGGAAGGTGATCCAGAAATGACCATTTACTGCCTGCAGAGCCAGGAAGGGGGCGGTTCTCAAGACAACAGGTGAGTGGGGAACCCAGAGGGCCCTGCTCTCCCCTGTTACTGAACCAGCGTCTCTGCAGATAAATGGCTCTGAACGCAGCTCTACCATGGAGACAGGGAGGCCCGTTCTCTTTCGAAACACAGAACCAGGTCCCCCCGCCAACTCATGCCTTGCTTTTTTGTCACCCCTTTACATCTGGGAAGGACAGAGGGTCTCTGCAGGAGTGAAACATGACCCAATTTCCCACAGAACAGAAAATTTAATATATTCTAATTTAAAACTTACTTCAAAACCCGCCCTGGGCTTCCCTGGTGTGGTGGCACAGTGGTTAAGAATCCGCCTGCCAATGCACGGGACACGGGTTCGAGCCCTGGTCCAGGAAGATCCCACATGCCACGGAGCAACTAAGCCCGTGCACCACAACTACTGAGCCCGCGAGCCACAGCTACTGAGCCCGCGCGCCTAGAGCCCATGCTCCTTCAACAAGAGAAGCCACCACAATGAGAAGCCCGCGCACCACAACAAAGAGTAGCTCCCACTCGCCGCAACTAGAGAAAGCCTGCACACAGCAACGAAAACCCAATGCAGCCAAAAATAAATAAAAATAAATTTATATTAAAAAAAACCCCATATTAATACTTAAATATTGTGAGTGATAATGAAATTAAGAATATTGTCCAATAATTTCAAGCAATATATATAGGAAATATTTACAAATTATCTTTTAAAAAGCAAAGTTAAAGAGAGACAATTACCTGACTTCCAAACTGTGAGCCAGTGTATAGGAAGCGCTGTATATAGTAAAATATTAGCCAGGCTAATGAGATAATCATCATGGTGATGAAGGCGATGGCCACAAACACCACGGACTGACCGCTGATGAACTCCTGTACGTGCCGGGTGCCGAGCCCTATGGTCATTGTGACTGGAATGTCTTTCTGCACCAGATCCACAATTTCTCTTCCTTTGGGGTAGCTAACCATAATGACTACTATATTTCCTGTTCCTGTGGGAAAGAACAAAGGAATGAATACGAAGAACACAAGATAAGATACAGAGAAAGTATGGCTCCATATGCACATACCACCAAAAACTCTGATAAAATGGATAATTTTCTAGGAAAACCCAAGTTACCATCACTGGTCTCCAAGGAGAAAACACTGATTGCATAAGAAGTAGAATAAATCACTAAGAACTACCCCCCTAGAAAGCAAGAGCCGTCCCCACCCCCCGTTCAGTTTCACAGGTGAGTTCTACCCCCAAACCTTTAAAGAGCAAGTAACATCAATGACATTTAAAGTGCTCCACAGCAGATTGGAAAAAAATAAAAAGAAGTCTTAAAATTGTTTCTAAGGTAATAGAACCAAGCATGGTAGCAAAAAACCAACATAAGAACCACACAGACCAATTTCAACTTGTGACTACTAATACGAACGCCTAAGCACACCCATTAACTCAGGGAGGCAATCGGAGAAGTTCCACTATGCTCAGTATTATTTCATCTTGTTCTGAGGACACCAGCAGACATAAGACAAAAAAATAAGAGAAATAAAAAAGGGATAAAATGGCCAATTTTACATGAATCTATAAATTAATTTTTTAAATTATCAATGGGACTTTAAAAACCTTACAAATTCTGCTTCTAAAGCTCATTTAGGGGAAAAATAATAAAGAACAATCAGGAAAACTTTGTAAACAGTAAAACCTGGACTAGCCTTTGTTGTCAAAGTAATTAGAACAGTGTGGTAGTAGCATATGAAGACAACCAGAATGGTGCAGAATAAGAAGCCCAGAAACTAGACCCAAACACATAAAAGAATTCAGTAAACGATAAAAGTGGAATTTCAAATCAATGGGGTAAAATGGATTATTTTTTAAAAAAACAGTGTGGGTGCCACTGAGTATCACCTGAGGCTAAAAAAGCTGCAGCCCTTCTTTGCAAGTTAAGCCAAAATAAATTCTAACCAAATCCAAGATTTAAATATATAAAAAAGAGAAAACATAAAAGAGCCAGAAGAAACATGGGAATTAAAAAATAAGTAATATTGAAGGGAAACCTTTCCAAGTGTAAAAAAATCACCTCGAAACTTCTTTAATAGAAAAGATTTGAGGGCTTCCCTGGTGGCACAGTGGCTGAGAGTCCGCCTGCCGATGCAGGGGACACGGGTTCATGTCCCGGTCTGGGAAGATCCCGCATGCCGCGGAGCAGCTGGGCCCGTGAGCCATGGCCGCTGAGCCTGCGTGTCCGGAGCCTGTGCTCTGCAACGGGAGAGGCCACAAAAGTGAGAGGCCTGCATACCGCAAAAAAAAAAAAAAAGATTTGAGCAACTAACCAATTTTACGAAAACAAAAATTTTCTGCACTGGCTAAAAGAGGAAAATCAAGGACTCAAGATCAAAAGAGCAACTGGTCAATGGGGGAAAAATACATGGAACGTAAAAAAGACAAAAAGCTAATTTCCTATAAGAAAAAGAGCAACAGAAAAACAAAGAAAATTAAGTCAGTTTGCAGAAAACACAAATGGGTTTTTAAAAAAAAACAGCATCTTTAGTGACATATAATTCACATGCCATAAAATTCATTCTTTTACATAAGTGTACAATTCAATGGTTTTTAGTATATTCACAAAGGCTGTGCAACCATCACCACTACGTAATTCCATAACATTTTCATCACCCCCAAAAGAAATCCTGTACATATTAGCGATCACTCCCCCCAGAAAGGATTTAAACATATGAAAAGTCATGGTACAAATGAAAACACGCCTAAAAGATTGGCAAACATCAAAAAGCCTGATACGCCATATCAGCAAAGAGCAAATATAAACGGAAACTCTTGCTGGGGGAGTGAATTATTACAACCTGGCATGGAGAGCAACAGCTACTAAAAGTTTTTAAATGCACATGTTTCCCTGACCTGGCAATTCCAGATCCAAGAAACTAATTCCAAAGGTATACTTATGTTATGTACACAGGAGGAATCCATAAAGATATTTACTGCCAGTGTTTTTTCTAAAATTTTGCTATCACAGCCTAAATGTGCATCAATGGGACTTCCCTGGTGGCGCAGTGGTTAAGAACCCATCTGCCAATGCAGGGGACACGGGTTCAAGCTCTGGTCCGGGAAGATCCCACATGCTGCTGAGCAACTAAGCCCGTGCACCACAACTACTGAGCCTGCGCTCTAGAGCCCGCAAGCCACAACTACTGAAGCCCGAGTGCCTAGAGCCCGTGCTCCGCAACAAGAGAAGCCACTGCAATGAGAAACCGCGCACTGCAACGAAGAGTAGCCCCTGCTCGCCGCAACTAGAGAAAGCCTGCTCGCAGCAACGAAGACCCAACGCAGCCAAAAATAAATAAATAAAATTTATTTATTAAAAAAATAAAAATATAAATGTCCATCAATAATAGTTATATAATTTACAGTACGTGTACACAGTCTGAGGCAGCAGCCCTGTTAACAGTGATGGTAGTCAAGACACAAGAGGAAAAAAACGGCACGTAAAACTGTGTGGACAAGAGGTCTACGTGGCGATATCAGTACAGATCCCCCTGAAGGCTACCCCATGGGGACCCTGACTGCCTCCGGGCGGGGGGAGAGCTGGACACAGGAAAAATTCTCTATCAGGTGTACATATTACCTATTCAAAAACTAACTTACAAAATACATTTAAAGACTGTTCTCTGGCATTACACTGAAACCACATTCTAACACTATTTTATTATAGAGAGAAATTTAATCTGTAGCAAATCCGCCCTGGGCCGTGGGGATTTAGTTACTGAAAACCCAGAAGGGCACCCTTCTCAGGTGGCTGCTGTCTGGAGGCCGATCCTATGACCCAGCCCTAGAAGTGTTCCTTGGCAAGTAACCCAGTTGTCTGAGCACTCACACAATCTACTACATCCTCACTGGGGAGACTTAATAATGAGCAAGGCATTTCCTGCCTTCAGGGAAATAAACATCTGGTAGCCGAGAAAGACAAATACAGAAACAATTAGGATACTTATACCACTCATGATTATGTGGTGCTCTATAAGCTGAAAGCCCTTTTCATAAATTAAGAAAAGTTTCCTTTCGTGGAAAATTTCAAGCACATGCTAAAGTAGAAAGGAGAGTATAATGAACCCCATGTACCTGTCTCTCTTTTATACAGAAAACAAAATGTTGCTATGCTACAGTTACAGTTTCTGGTACTGATGATAGAATGACCTCTGTGTGTTAATGGGGAAAACGAACTCTGAAGCACTTTCACTCTGTCTCGCACTTGAGGCAGAAAGAGTCGAGTAATCATTTTACAGACGAGGGCTAAATACACTATCATGTGTAAAACAGCTAGCTAGTGGAAACCTGCTGTACAGCACAGGGAGCTCAGCTTGGTGCTCTGTGATGACCTAGATGGGTGGGATGGGGGGAGGGAGGTCCAAGAGGGAGGGGATATATGTATACACATAGCTGATTCACTTCATCGTATAGCAGAAACTAACACAACACTCTAAAGCAATTATACTCCAATTAAAAAAAAAAAAAAAAAGAGTTGCCAATGTCACACACCACCTGGAAAAGCCAGTTCCAGGGCCTGAAGCCCCAGCTCCTCCTACGTGTGTCTCTGCCCTGCCTCCTCATTCGGGGGGACTCAGGCTTCAAGGCCAGCCGGGCTCACATCTCCCTCTGACAACCACTGCCTGGGTGCTCTGAAAGTATTTGTTCAGCTGTAAAATGGGGATGAGAATTTTTCTATTTGGGGCTGTCACTTATTTAACGAGAACGTGGAATAACAAAAAACTGCGGAAATGAACTGATCATTTTGTCTGGGGTGGGAGGGAACTTTTTCCCTGGGAAGTCAGTGCATCTTGACGGACTGGAAAAGTTCCCCAAGCAAAAGAAGGGAGATTTCTGGGCTGTGAAACCATCATACAAGAGCATATTTGGAATGGTGACTGGCCCAGTTTGGTTAGTGACTAAATACACATAAATGTATCCTGCTTATCTCATTAGCCCCAGTGCCTCATGTAGAACCTGGCACATAGTAACTATTTAATAAATATCTGTTGTCTAAATGAATGAGAGATGGGGGATGAGCTGAGAACACCCGAAACCTCAAGGCAGGGGCTGCAGACAAGCAGTGATTATCAGGACACCTGGGACGGAAAACATCTCCAGTATCAATCTGCAGTTTTTCACCTAGGAAACTCTTGGTTCATTAAGTTACAAGAAATTGAAAAAAAAAATACTGAGTGCTAAATTTTGCTACACTCTAATTATAGCAGCAAGATTGCTTCTGGGAACTACTGCAGATTTAAAAACTCGGAATGAAGACTTCTTCCATCCCATGACTGGCTCTTCTGGGGCACGTGTGGGATGAACTGGAGGCCGGGCAGTTGAGTAAACACGCACTAGCTCAGGGTCACTGGGCGCACAACCGCAAGGGGCGCCGAGCACAGGCCCCGCGTCTGGCCCTGCCCTCCCCTCCGGATGTACCGGGGGCCAGTCCTAGAGAGCCCTAGTGGCACGAGAGCGCAAGTCACGGCTGATTGCCAAACCAAACGTTTTGCCTGTGCTTTCTTCAGGCACACACGTGCAGAGTCTTGGGACAAGGGGAGAAAAAGCCCTTTGAATGTTTTTCTTCCCCAGGCCTCAGTGCTACCAATCACACTTGACCGAAAAAGGTCACCTTGTGCAATGCCCGCCCTTCCCCAAAAGAACCTACAGACCTCACTGCTAAACTCCTTGAAGGCAGTCTGTTGGATTTGTCTTACACATCGGCGTCGCATAAGGTCTCAAACAGGGCACACGATCATAAACCTACTTGAGAAATAATAGTTCCCCTTACCACCTTGTCAAAAACAAACAAAAAATGTAAAAAGAATATGTTTTGGTCAATAGCTTCAACATTCTGGAGGGTCACATTTGAGTCTACTGTACCATTTCTCCTCCCTAGGAAACTATTTAAAGTAGATTTCAACATTCTCTTGAAGGAGATGGGAACTGCTAAAATATTTAAAGTAGTGGCTTAGATTTCTGTGCTAGAAGACTGATGCAGGCAGCGAGAGAATCCTATGACCTTTCAGGTTTTCTTTTTTCCAATAACTTAACTTCCATATTCTCTCCATCCCTCCCACCCCCCTCCCCAAACCTGGAGAATTCCTGGTCAAATCTTTAAGATGCAGCAACGCCTCTGAAGCACACCTCTTTCCACACTCCTGCCAGAATGTCTTCCTGGGCCCCTGCCCCTCACTAGACAAGGACTACAGTTCTTATTTATTAGTTTTTGCGCTCAGCATCACACAGTGATGGCCCAACAGAAGGGTTTCTGTACAAATGAATCAACCTGAAAAACTGGTTTATCTTCCGGTATTATCCTTGAACTGACCCAATAAGGAGAATTATCAGAGACTCCCTTTGCAGGGGAAACAGTACACCAAATATGAACGGAAACGTCTCCAAAATGTGAAGCCATCATGCAAACAGAAATGTCTTTACGGTTGGCTAGGATGAGTTAGGAGGACTCAAAAAATATATGCAATTCTCTTCTTGGAATTTCACACTTTGTTTTGGATAATCTGGCCTGCTCAAGGATATTTTGTATTTGTTGAGTACAGTATTCAACAATCTTACTGCAAACTCTTTGCAGTTTTCCAGAACGCCTCACTTTGTCGCCTCAGGCCTGCAGTCCTTTCCGAGGCCACTCCCTTCACCCAGAAGGTTCTACAGCCCCACTCCACCCCGCGTACCACACACACACTCAGATACCTTCATCAGCTTAAGCTGTGCTTCAGCACTCCATCTGTCTGGGAACTGTCTGAGTTAATCCCACCTGCTATGAGGCTGTGAGGTGCCATCTCTTCCTAGGGCACCAAAATACATTCTAATCTCAAATCTAAACGTTTAGATCATTTGTGAGAGTGCAGCATTCAAGATCATCGAGCTTCATTCACTCATAAAAGACTATTTACCATGCTCTGCAAACACAAAACGCACATCTTTCCTGAGGTAAGGATTTCGTATCACCTGTGTCATCTCCCTCCACCCCAACTCTGGCCCCTTCCCCAAACACACCTCTAAGCCCTGCTGGTACTTGGCACTCAGTAAACTGCTGACAGAATTAAAGTGCCAGTCTAAACAGCCACTCAAGATGTCAGCTAAAGGATCAGCCTGGTGTTAACTAACAATCACCACATCGAGGCCGACCCTCTCCAAAAGCTTTCATTTCAATGGTCTGACTTACATCAATTTTTACTTTTCTTGGTCAAACTGACTTCTAATCATCTTTGCACTATCTCTGCATCAGATGCCCTTCCTTTATGCTTTCTAAGTACCTGTGCATATAATTCTGTCGACGTCCAAACCACATTGCCTGGAAAGGTCTGTTTATTGCTCCCACTAGGCTGGGAATTCCTCAAAGTCCGGCACACGTCTTAGGCGTTTCTACCCCCAAGCAGGCGCCATACTTGGCCCAGACTGGCCGCTGTATATCCATCTGCCAAAGTAAAGGGAACCAACCTTGGGCATTAGGGTAACGGTCCTTACAGATGTCCTGATAGAATATTATCTTAAAGTCCCGATTTATTTTAGAACCACAATAAAACACTGATTTAGGGCTTCCCTGGTGGCGCAGTGGTTGGGAGTCCGCCTGCCGATGCAGGGGACGCGGGAAACAAAAGTGGCCCTGGGAGGAGAAAAAAAAACACAAAGCTGAGAAAAAAATCAACTTTGGAAAATTCTTTCAGTCATTTATTAATAAATATTTATTAAAAACCTACTATGTGACAAGCCCGGTGCTGGCCTCTGGGGACAAAGGAGTAAACAAAACAGATACTCCTAGGGAACTCCCTGGCAGTCCAGTGGTTAGAACTTGGCACTTTCGCTGCTGAGGCCACGGGTTCGATCCCTGGTTGGGGAACTAAGATCCCATAAGCTGCGTGGGAGAGAAAAAAAAAAAAAAAACAAAAAAGACCCCACTGATTTAAATCCAGAATATCTTCTACTGGATTCTAGTAGTCAAGCAACAGGTCTAAGAAAAACTGGTGAAACTCTGAGACTTGGGAGGAGACTATCATGATTGGAGTTTACAAGCAGCCACCTTGACCTATTCTGTGGAGCCCTGGCACAGAACCGCTGATCAGTGCTTGACACTGGCCCTGTCCACACTCTGACAAAACACAAGAAAGCAAAGTCTGAGCTGCCGTCAACGTTCTGTGTAACGTTTCAAACTCAAGTCCATCAAAGCTGTCTCCTCTTCTGACTTAATTCCACTCCATTCTTAATTCTAGTCCATTCTCAAAAAGCCATGAAACATCTGTACCCTTGTCCCCAGTGGGGCCACCTTCTGAGAATGAGAGTCATTCTTTTCCATTTCTAGTGACCACTACAGTATAGGCCCTTACACTTCTACCTGGACTAGACACTGGTCTAAGTGGATTCCCTGTTTCCAGCGCCTCCTCTGTGTAACCCATTGGTCACACTACACCAAATTCACCTCCTTTTAAGTCAGTGATTCAAAACATTGGATGCTACTGTCATCCCCTCTGCCCCCGGACATCTGGCAATATCTGGAGACATTTTTGGTTGTCACAACTGGAATCTCTTGAATAGAGGCCAGGAAAGGCCCCTGCAACAAAGAATGATCTGGCCATAGATCACCGCGTTACCATGGGCCAGTCATTTAAATTCTTTGGGCATCGGTTTCCTCATCTGTAAAACGGGGTTAAAGTACCCACCTCAAAGGGCTGTCGGGAGGAATAAGCGGAGAATACCGACTCTGCACTGGGAACTTTCATACATTTAAAAAAAAATTCCTAATGCTGTTACTTTTGTCTTTTTTCTCAAACAGAATTATTCTCACAGTAAAAAGGCTAGAATGGACACTCATAATGGCAACAGAAGCTCACAGGAAGAAGATGTAAAATAAATACCAATTCGGTGTTTTCTGGGCCTGGAGAGATTATATGTCAATAATCTGGAGTGGAAGCTCTTTCCCAGGGCATTCTGGGCCTGGACAGATTACATGTCAACAATGTAAGCAAGCAAGGTTACTGAACCATGGTTAGAACACGTGCAATTAGCCTGGAAGGACGTGAATGTCACTACCAAAAAATGCAGTAAACAGATTTAGAAGACTGTAGGCTGACGGGCCTGCCATAGAAAAGAAAAAAGTCCCCAGTACGATGTCACTCAGAAGGGACTGCGAGGACCCAGCACCAGAGGAACCCTCACACACTGCCCTCTATGCTTTGGCAGATGCCTGTCCACAGGATGCATCTGGAACGCTGTGTGAACTCTGACAGAACTTCTCATGAGAGGCTTGTAGAGACGACTTGGGTACGGTGACAACTGGAATAATTGCACCAAAGGTGGTGCATCGCCCAGTGCCCCCACGGGGACATCTGCTCCCGTTTCCTCCCCAAACCCACTTCCTCTCTGTTGCAACGGAGGAATTTCCCCTCTCCTATCTGAGGGCAACCCCTCCACGAGTATCCTGGACCCAGCCGCTGTCCTTCTCAAAAACCTGACTCTTTCTGTTACCTCTTCTCCAAGCTACACCTCTACCAGATCACTCCATCCAACTTCAATATGCCTCGCTGTCATCCAATCCACCCTTCCCTGCCCTACGGTTTCCACCCACTTTTTAGCACCTCCCCAGCCCTTGCCGTCAACCATCTTGAAAGCGTGGTTCTAACAGTCTCACTTCCTCACGTCTCAACAGAATTCTGTTCCCTCGTTCTGCTAAAGTAGGCCAAATCCAAAGTCACTCTCCTGTCCTCATTGTACAGGTATTGTGAACTTGCATTCAAGAAGCCAACACAGAACAAAAACCAAAAGCACAGGAAAAAGGATGTCTGACTTGCAACAGCAGCAGAAACTCCCTAAAGAGATTTTGATCCCAGTAAGTTCAGAATGAGTCGTGTTCTTCGAAGGCCTTCCGACTCTGCCGATTGGTAGACTATCACTTGGAATTCAGTTCTAAGGATGATAACCTTGCAAAATGCACCTTTTAAACTTTCATGACTGCTTGAGGATGCAACCCGTTGCCCCAGAGAACAGTGTGTGGGAAGGGTCACCCAGCAAAAAGTAAAATTTCTTTTTTTTTTTGGCCAAGCCATGTGTCTTGTGGGATCCTGGTTTCCTGACTAGGGATCGAACCCGTGCCCTCTACAGCGGAAGGGCAGAGTCTCAACCACTGGACCACGAGGCAAGTCCCAAGAGCAAGATCTTTTCCTGCATGATCACAACTTTAAAATTTTCAACTAAACGCAAGGGTCAAGCAATCTGATTGGCAGTGGAGCCAGTATTATAACCTATTTAGCAAGTGAGAAAACATACCCCAACCTAAGGCCAGGTTTTCTGACTCAGTTGAATCCAAACTGTCCCACTCAAAAGTTCAGAATATTGACATGTTTTATGAAAGTGAAGACACCAGAGTGTCACCAAGCCACCACCTTACGTGGTGAAGGGAGAGCCAGACCCTGGAATGCCCTGGGAAAGAGCTTCCACTCCTGCGCCACGCCACCTGACTTTGGGGAACGCCGAATGGCAAGGATCCATGATTAGGAATCATGAGACTTTCCGCGGGCGAGAACCACAATCCTCCTCCTGCGGGTCTTAATTTCTTTCGTTCTCCCCATCACCCTCCTGCACAGCGCACCTCCCTCCACTTGCAAGGGCCCAGGGAGACGATCTAATCTTGTTCTTAGGCTCGCCTCCCTCCTAAGAGCCCCCGGAGATCACACCGAGCCAACCTAGCGCTTCCCTCGTAGTTCCCTTCGGCCAGAGCCCATCGCCGCCGCCCCTCGCGGTCCCGCCGGAGGACCGGGCGGTCGTCCGGGACCGCAGCGCACGGACGCCCCGCCAGTCCCCGCGCCCCGGCGGCTCACCCGCGTGGGACATAGGCGCGGTGAGGTTCCCATGGCGCTCCTCGTTGTACAGGACCACGGCCGAGGCGTTCCGCCGAGCCGCCGCCAACACCTTGTCCTTGAAGGTGCAGCCCCCGCGCGCCACCAGCGCGACCCAGGGCGCGGCTCCCCGGCCGCCGGGCACGAGGAAGCGCGTGCGGGGCGCGCAGCCCTCGGGGTCGCGGTCCTCGGCGCGCGGGACGCCCACCAGGCCCCGCGCGCCCTCCTTGGGTGAGGTCTCGCCGAAGCGGCCGCTCTCCGAGACGCTCCGCACGCTCCGGTTGGTCTGCGGGTCCACGTACTCGGTGCTCACCACGGCCGAGTACCACTCGAGCGCCCGGCCCCGGGCCCCGGGCGCACACAGGGCCAGCGCTAGCAGCGCCAGCGCGCCGCGGGCCCCGCTGCGGGCCTCGGGCCGCCGCCGCCGCCGCCACGCCATGGCCCCGCCGCCGGGCTGACCGGGAGAGGGCCGGCCGGGAGCCGAAGGGTGCTGGCGTGCCAGGCCGCCGAAAAGCGCAGAGATATCGACACCAGCTGCCGAGCCCGGGAAGACCCAGTCCTGGTGGCGGGAGGGGCCGCGGCGCACGCGCACCTGAAGGAGCGGCGGGCGGGGCGGGGCGGGGCCGGAGGGCGGGGCCGTGGCGCACGCGCACCTGGCGGGGCGGCGGGGGAGGGGCCTCGGCTGGCCCCGCCCCCGCGCGGAGCCCGGCGCCACGCATGCGGGCTCGGGACCACCGAGTGCCTTATAGAGTGTCGCCAGATTCCTGCGGCCCGGTGGTCCCGGGGCCCCAGGACCCTGCGGGCCGAGGCGGGGGGATGGGAAGTGACAGCCCGAGAAACGGGAAACTTCTCCGCGAGCCGGCCAAGAGGCGCGGGAACCTGGTTGTGTAAAATCGCTGAACGGATGTTTATGAAGAATTCACTGTGCAAGGCACGTGGCAAAGGCCTTGCTTCTCTAAAACATTGAAAAACAGCTTAAAAACGCCAAAGCTGCACAGATTTTCCAGATACTATTTGTTACCGATTTTGTAATGCTAATTGATTTTGGTATTTTGTGTATAGTCTGTAACATTGAAGTGAGTGCATCAAACTACTTGTATAGATGAGCATTGGAATGGTACAGCAATAAACATATAAAAAGAGAAAATGTATTGTTTGGAAATAAAAACTGGGTGACAGTCCATATGAAACTGCCTTGGAAAGGAAGCCTTACTGCTACAGGAAAAGAAGTTTAGAACACTGATTTCTGAGTGATTCATCTTCCTTCTTTGCACAAGAACCTTCTTTGCAGGAAGTAGGTTGCTGTCACTCACACCAGGCGTTTTGTTGGGCCTGACACCCTCTTCTGTGTCCTCTTTGTTATAAGTCTTTCTTGGACTGCATTTTAAAGCTCTGCTCCGAAATGCAGCCCACAGCCCATAAGCTCTCCCTGAAGTTGGATCTCCTCTCCCTTTTCCATTAGGAAACTAATTTTAAAAGTCTGAAAGGATCCCAAGGCTTGAGGCCTTCCCCTTGTCCCAAGCATAGAATAAAGGAGATAAGTTACGGTGGTCATGGCAGGCTGGGGGACAGGTCCTAGGCCCCCCCCCCCCCATGATAGGCTTTACAAGCAGTTCCCAGAACAGGTGTTTGCCCTTGCATGCTATGTCTTGCGCATTGATTCACTTCTTCCTGAGATTCTCCTGCTCCTGGCTCTTGCCTGGCAAATGCCATCCTCGCCTTCAAGGTTTAACTCAAAAGCTATTTCTTCTGTGGAACCTTCCCTGGTTCCTAAAAGCAAACTTGGGTGCCCCTAATTTCCCTGCTGCTTGTGTATGTTTTGCTTATGCATCAATGTTGTACCAGCAATACTGCTTTCCAAATACAGTTTTTTGTCTTCTTATAATACTGCGAGTTTCCTGAGAGCCAGGATTGTGTCTTTGCTGGTTTCATGAGCCTGCCTCAGCTAACACAGCATCATGTGTGTAATCCATGTTTGTTCAATAAGCAAAATAGCTCTTTTGTACTGTTTGAGTTAAAACTCTTATGATTACTTACAGGTTTGTTGCTCAGAGGAGTTCACAGACTAATAGGAACAGGCTTGCAGCTGTTGAGCCCTTAGACCCACCCCAGCTTCTTGGTTTTAATTTTCTCTCTACCGGCTTCAGGCCTCAGCTAGTTCCCACCCCCAACCCCTAACCCCCAGCCCCGTCCAAAGCTGCAACCACTGGCAGCACTGGACATTTAGGTTATTATCAATCTTGTCATTACAAACAATTTTGCACATATGCCAGTTTGCACATTTATCTATAGGATAGATTTCTAGAAGTAGAATTGGTGAGTGCAAAGGTCAGTACATTTGCAATTTTGGTAGATATTACCAAAATGCTCCTCCAGAGAGGTTTTACCAAACTCCGTTCCACTAGCAGTGTCTGAGAGTACCGTTCGATGTAGTGTGTTAGCAAACTTTTTGAACTTTGCCAATATGACAGGTGAATAATATCAGAATGGTTGTGTTTGGGTGTGCATCTTTTTACTGCTTTTTAATTCAAATTGACACCCTGCTCCCTTTTTATTTTGCTGTTGATCATTACCGAGAATCAGATGAGGAATTAAAAAAAATAACAATCATGAGAAAGTTCTCAGTTATTTTGTTCCTGATTCCTGGTTAAGTCAGTCGTTCTCAGCTTGGCTATACCTATGAATCTCCTGGGGTGTTTTTTTTTTAAAAAAATACTGGGACTTCCCTGGTGATCCAGTGGGTAAGAGTCCATGCTCCCAATGCAGGGGGCCCAGGTTCGATCCCTGGTCAGGAAACTAGATCCCATGCATACCACAACTAAGACCTGGTACAGCCTAAATAGATAAATAAATAAAAATTAAAAAAACTTAAAAATACCAGAGCTGAAACCATTGTATGTGATACTGCAATGGCGGATATGTGACATTACACAATTGGCAAAACCATAGAATGTACAACACAGAGTGAACCCTAATGTACACTAATGACTTTAGTTAATAATAATGTATCACCAATAAGAAACTGTCAAACTGTAAAAAAAAAAAATAACGTATCAGTAGTCATCAATCATCAGTTGTAACAAATATACCACACCGATGCAAGGTATTACTACTAGGGGAATGGTGCAGGATGGGGGAGCGAGTATATGGGAACTCTTTGGACCTTCTGTTTACTTTTTCTGTAAACATACAAGTGCTATTAATTAAAAACAAAAACAAAACTCCAGGCCCACTCTCCTTGGAGATTCTGATCATTGGGAGTGGAGCCAGGCCAAGGTAATTGTTTAAAAATATCTCCGGTGTTGCAAATACCCAGCATTGAGCCACTAACTTAAAGTGATAATTGAAGCTCCAACAAGCTTTTATCCAGGTCCCAGCCCAGACCAGTTAAATCAGATTCTCCAGAAATGGGGCCGAGGCATCCTTAGCTTACAGAAAGGTCCCTAGATGACTGTAATGTGCAGTCAGTTCTAGTTTGAAAGCTGGGCAATGGTTCAACCCTGGCTTGAGCCCAGAAGACCTGTGAGGAGGGAATGTACTTCCTCTTTGCAAGTTCATAGGTCAAGGCAGGCCACAGAGGGTAGCCACAGTTGGCTCTAGTGGTTCTTGGACCAGCATTATTGGCATCACCTAAGAATTTGTTAGAACTGCAAAGTCTTGGGGCTTCCCTGGTGGCACAGTGGTTGGGAGTCCGCCTGCCGATGCAGGGGACACAGGTTTGTGCCCCGGTCCGGGGAGATCCCACGTGCCGCGGAGCGGCTGGGCCCGTGAGCTATGGCCGCTGAGCCTGCGCGTCCGGAGCCTGTGCTCCACAACGGGAGAGGCCACAACAGTGAGAGGCCCGCGTACCGCAAAAAAAAAAAGAAATACCTTAGAGGGTGAGGTTGATAAAAGACAGAAAGTGTCAATCATTACCCCCATTAAAGAATTTTGTATTCATTGAGATGGTTCTTTTTCTCATTTTTTGACTTTATAATACATGTAGTGGGGGAGTATCTCAGTTTACAATTTTACAATCTCAGGTATGCAAGAATTCTTCAGTTCTTTGTTCTTTTGGGTGGTGGTCTAATTAAACAATTGCTTGTCTAATTGCTCTAGCTAGGACTTCCAAATACTATGTTGGCTAAAAGTGGCAAGAGTGGGCATCCTTGTCTTGTTCCTGATTTTAGAGGTAAAGCTTTCAGCTTTTCACCTTTCAGTATGATGTTAGCTGTGGGCTTGCCATATATGGCCTTCACGGTGTTGAGGTATGTTCCCTCTATGCCTGTTTTGTTGTGAGTTTTTATTAATGAATGTTGAATTTTGTCAAAAGCTATTTCTGCATCTCTTAAGATGATTATATGATTTTTAGGCTTCATTTTGTTAATGTGGTGTATCACACTGCCTGATTTGTGGATGTTAAAACAGCCTTGCATCCCCGGAATAAATGCCACTTGATCCTTTAATGTAATGTTGAATTTGGTTTGCTAATTATTTTTTTTGGCTGCATTGGGTCTTCGTTGCTGTGCGTGGGCTTTCTCTAGTTGCAGCGAGTCGGGGCTACCCTTTGTTGAGGTGCACGGGCTTCTCATTGCGGTGGCTTCTCTTGTTGCGGAGCACGGGCTCTGGGCACACGGGCTCAGTAGTTGTGGCGCACGGGCTTAGTTGCTCCGTGGCATGTGGGATCTTCCCTGATCAGGGCTCGAACCCGTATCCCCTGCATTGGCAGACGGATTCTTAACCACTGCGCCACCAGGGAAGCCCCTGGTTTGCTAATGTTTGTTGAGGAGTTTTGCATTTATGTTCATCAGGGTAATTGGCCTGTAATTTTATTTTTTCTTAATGGAGTCCTTGTGTGGTTTTGGTGTCAGGATAATGCTGGCCTTGTAAATGAGTTTGGAAGAGTTCCCTTCTCTTCTATTTCTTGGAAGAGTTTGAGAAGGATTGGTATTAATTCTTCTTTGAGTGTTGGATAGAATTCACCAGTGAAGCCGACTAGCCCTGGACTTTTGTTTGTTGCGAGAGGTTTGATTACTGATTCAATCTCCTTTGTAGGAATTGGTCTGTTCGAATTTTTTATTTCTTCATGATTCACTCTTGGTAGGTCATATGTTTTTAGGAATGCATTCATTTCTTCTAGGTTGTTTAATTGTTGGTGTATAACTGTTCCTGGTAGTCTCTTATGATCCTTTGTATTTCTGTGGTATCAGTTGTAATATCTTCTCTTTCATAGAAAACCCTAAAGACTCCATCCATCAAAAAACTTACAACTAGGGCTTCCCTGGTGGCGCAGTGGTTGAGAGTCCGCCTGCCGATGCAGGGGACACGGGTTCGTGCCCCGGTCCGGGAAGATCCCACATGCCGCGGAGCTGCTAGGCCCGTGAGCCATGGCCGCTGAGCCTGCGCGTCCGGAGCCTGTGCTCCGCAACGGGAGAGGCCACAACAGTGAGAGGCCCGTAT